ATTTTCTAATAAGAATATTTAGGAATGGGAGATTATTTTCTAATTCAATGGTAAAATGTATGTCAAGGAGTATAGAGTTTAGATGGCTAAGAAAATCTTGAAGGGATTTTTGACCACGAAACAGTTATGTCAGAAATTCTGACTTGTTTTTCCAAAATTCCAAAAACATTTTAGCGCTTTTGTATTTCGCACAGTAAGTCGATATAACGTCTTTGTTACAACTGTCCCAAATCACGCATCCAAATGCGACGTCGTCCTTCGGCGACAGATAGACACACCAATCCAGCTGTATGATACGCTGTCGCTCGCAACTATTCGTTAATAAATAAAGGCAAACTCGACACGTCAACGGCAAGTGATGTACGACAGGACAATAATTTGTTGAATACTAATAGCAAAAGCTTAATCAGGGGTCGGACGAGCGATGCCGGCGGGGTTAAATGAAATGGCAACGCCAGGCTTGACCAATTTCTGCCCGGCATGTTTAACAATGGCCGCAAATGCGCGCAGCCCAACTCCCTTCAATGACCGAATTGTTTCGCCGCTAACTTTGAATGATAGCCATTTTGGGTACGTCGTCGCGGTGCCAATTCGTAATGTCGCTGCCGGCCCTATAGGATGCTGATTACTATGGCTCGGAAGGTCGAGCTCTACGCCATATCAATAGAAATAATATTCAACGTTAAACTTTTTAAATAATAATTATTAAAAGCTACCAAGCTTTAAGTAAACAAAAATAATTTTAGTCTTGAGATCTACAAGAAAGGGCGCTAAACTTTTTAAGTAATAATTATTAACAGCTGCCAAATTTAAAGTAAGCGCAAATAATTTTAATCTCAAGATCCGGAAACCATTTTCGTAGTTCTTGAATTTAGTTATAAATCTTTCCCTTTGGTACTAGGATTTGGTGCACTGAAACTGAATAGGAATATTACCGGACCTGATATCTGGCACTCTAGGAATGTTCAAACTTTTGACGAAGTTGCGGAACGCGGGGGGACAGACGTTTTAAGGGAACGGAGTTGCACCTGCTAACGACGAATTAGTTATTCACCAACTTGATGTCCCAAAATGGTTCACAAATAACAAGGAGCTGAAAAAAGTGTACCAAAGTAGCGATTACCCGAAAAACAACCAGGACGATTAATGGTCACAAATATGTAGTGATATGTTACCGCTAATATCCAAAAACAGTTGTTTTTTATAACAGCTCCGCAAATTAGGAATTCTGCGTAATTACTGAAACTCTTAGTGATTTTGCAAATTAACATAAACATTGATACTGATAACAACTAAAAATTTTACAGGAACTATGCGTAATAACTATGTTATAATGGGTATATTTTTTCGATGTATAGAACTTTAAGTTGGCATTACTGTTCAAGATGGGGACCGATTTAACAGCTGTCAAGTGATTTATTCTCAGTTTGGTTGGCAATTCATCATGAATAGGCTCAGTCCTGAACAACTCTTGCAAATAGTGCAATTTTATTTCGGCGGAATACGTATCGCGCACTACGTCCATTTTATCGTCGACAAAATCGTCCATCAGAGCAGTTAATTCGATTAACTATGGAACGTTTTCGCACCACGTTCACTCTTATTGATAACTCGTATCCCCAGAGACGCCGTACGGTGCGTACGGAAGAAGCTATTGCTGCTGTAGAGCATAGCATTGAGGAAGACCCGAATGAGTCCATCAGCAATCGAGCACAGGAATTGGATCTGTGTCAATCCACTTTATTGAAGATTTTGCGGAAGGATCTTGGTTTACGTGCTGACAAAATCCAACTCGTGCAAGAATTGAAGCCAAACGATCATCAAGTAAGGCGTAGATTTGTCGAATGAGCTCAAAACGAGATTGCCGTTGTTCCCGATTTTCAGAAGCGAATTTTGTTTAGCGATGAAGCGCACCTCTGGGTGAATGGCTACGTCAACAAACACAACTGCCGCATTTGGAGCGAAGCTAATCCTCAAGTGTATGTCGAAACACCGTTACATCCAGAAAAACTGACTGTTTGGTGCGCTTTATGGGCGGGTGGAATCATTGGTCCGTACTTCTTCAAAAACGATGATGGCCAGAACGTTACAGTCAATGGTGATCGGTATAGAGCTATGATTACTAACTCTTTCATTCCTGAATTGAATGACCATTGAGTCCAGGAGATGTGATTTCAACAAGACATGTCATACAGCTCGTGCCACAATCGATTTATTGAGAGACACGTTTGGTGACCGCCTAATTGCACGTTCACCGCTAGACTACTTTCTGTGGGGCTATGTAAAGTCATTGGTCTATGCGGATGAGCCACAAACGCTATTATTAGATACATATTATAGGATATAAAGTCGACGATTCATTAAAAAATCACAAATATATGATGTTACCTAATAAAATTTAAAGGGGGACCCTCTAGCTACCGTCGAAAATATTATAAACGCCATTTATAAAATAAATCGTGTTTATAATATCGATTAAATAAAGTAAGAAACTAACAATTTTTCCAAATATTTAAAATATTTGTTGATTTATTGACATTTATGGTTTTGTATGTTTTTAATTTTACTTAAAAATTATCAAGAACTAAAATGATTTCTTTGAAAAAGCTAAAACGGGTTTATAATAGCTTCGACGGCCGTGGAGATTCCGCTTGTAAATCAGGTATTGGATTTATTGGAATATACAGGGCGGGTCAAAAAGTAGATGTCACACAATTTTTTCAATACATTTTCGAATTTATACTCATCTTTCACGCATAATTCATGCAGCATGCTCTATAATCTATATCGTTAATTTGCCTTCGCCATAAAAAGTAAGTGTTATTTATAGGAATTGCTAAAAGAATCATGCGTTAAATATGACACTGAATTTTAAAATTTATTTAAAACAATTGTGTTTCTGCACATGCATTGTTCCTAATTCGCCTCTAAAAATTCGTGTCTAACTTCACACACGTAAATTAAACCTACACAACAAATAAAAATTTGATCAAAACCAGATGTCACACTGTAAATCGTAGCCTTTTCAAACATAGCAGGTGCGATTAATTACCGTTCTTAAATAAGCAAACCTGCTCTAGTTGTGAAAATTAAATGTTAATGTTTTGATCTACTGGCAAAGATAAGCTTCGTGTTGTATTTATTGTTCATTGTGCAGTTTAAAACTTGCATTTCAGTGCCTATTACCGAAGACCATAACCGAGAAGTTGCTGCGCCCATGTCGGGTCATTTTCCTTGTTTGTTCGCTGGAAAAAAACAAACTGCACGTGCAATTGGGTAAAATAGTAAATATCGTCCATTTTTTCTCAATTTTCGGACGTTAACGTTGCGTATTTCTTCGCCGTAAGAGAAATTTTTACCCCAAGTTTAGCTAAGAGAAGGAATTAATCCAAGCTATCGAACGCGTTATTAGAACCTAAGAGTATTAGACAATCGTCAGTAACATGAAACAAAGCAGAAGTAGTGCTGTGAAGAGGTAGAAATTGTTTAGCTCAATTTTTTTCAACAACCTTTGAGACGGTGGGCAATAAACTGATTAGTATAAAATCATTAATGACACTTTTACACTTTTTCTTTGCAACGGGTATAACTTCAGCTGGCTTCGAAGGTAAAAACCCCAAACAAACACAGAGTTCACAAAATGCCTTAATTATTTCTACTCGTTTAACGCACTTAAGACGTTTGTAGCTTAAAGTCTTCTATTTTTAAGCTTTATTAAAAGTTTAAGGTTTTCGGTTAACCAAGGGGCTGAAGGTCTCTTAATAATAATTGTTTTCAATGGAGCATAAATATCAAATAAATAACTGATATAATTCGTAAGAAAATCAACCTGTGCGTTTATATCATCATATATATAAAAAAGATATAAAAGATCCTAGTCCTCCCATTCATAAACAATTCATTATCGAATGCTGAGAAATCTCTAAAGGTCTGAAAAAGGGTTGGATGGCGGTCTCTCTGCAGCTAAGGAGTACAATAAACAATACAGTGATCTGGGATATCACTTGGTTAACTTCAATATTGTCACACATGCATAAATTAGAGGTGACTGGTTCATCAGTAAGCAACCTAGTTACGTGTAGCGTGTTTATGATTTTTTTCCACTTCCTTCCTATTTTGTTCGTTTATTTCCCCGCAATAAACTGACGGGTTTTAAAAGTTCGAACGGTTCCAATTCCCGTGTTTACAGTGAAATAAAATTAATTTACTGTTTACCGAGAAACCGGTATAAATCACACCGACTCCGACGTGGGTCGGATTCCGTCAGTGCGGTTTGTGCCTGTCCCGAAAATCGAGTCAACGGCAACAAAACCAGAATTAACTACCGTACAAAACTGTCCTGTTGACTCTCGATTGTGTATCCTCCGTTGCATCACTCCGTCGTATACGATTTGTGAACGGACTTTCGTTTTTGTTTAATTTAACTAGGAGAGTTCGTTACCATTATTCGTGGAGCTGATCAATCGCAACCACAATTACATATTATCTAGATGTTTCATCGTGCAACCCAGTGTCCAGACAAGTTGATGTAATATTAATAATACTGTAACTTGCCAAATTTAATTGGGATGGATTTCTATTAATGGGCATATGGGTGCAATATCACGATCAGGTTCATTACCAATGTAGGCATATTATTCTAGCTGGAATAGTTTAACTCTATTAAATATTTGAGTTCCAGTTTTGCAGTGAATCTCGTTATCATTAGATTATTAATGTTTTTTATATATTCATGACAAATACATACACAAGTAGAGATGCTGCAGATGCTGAAGAATACTTATTATGACTTTTTATAATTTAATTTCTGTATAATGTATTTTTTGTATAATGAACGTATGTTTAGTATTCGATGGGTCACTCTGTATTCCCTTTGTATACCAAAGGAGGTTCTATTACTCTGAATTAGAAACAGACTTTAAATATTTGAAGGATTCCGTTATTATTTATTATATTTATTTTATTTATATATATTTATATTTTTTGTTTTTTTTTTTCAGATCTGCCAGTTTGTCTAAGACTCGACTGGACAGGAACCACTGCAAAGTATAGGGATCAAGTAAGAATCTATTTAATGTTAATTAAATAAAACAATCTTTTTGTGTTACATTTTCGACGCTTTTTCGGGGTATCTTACTTATCTTTAAAGATAGGAAATGCGTTTTTCGCAATGGATATTCGCTAACCGTTTACGTTTTTGAGGTACGTAGAAACTTTAAAGTATCGCCTGCAGAATGTCTATTTGATAACTTATGGAATAATTAATGGTTGTTCCTTATACAACTTTTCGCTTAGAATTCAGTGCCGTTCTCAGAATAAAGGAAATTAGTTCAAAAAGATATTAATGCCTGCTTTATTTTGTTTGTAAAGGAACGCCTCGCACATAATTTTTTATTGAGAATAATGCGGGATTTTCAAAAATAGTAATACAATAATAATAATAATAATCTTTCCGTTTTAGATTTTTATTTTTGCAAAACAGTAGCAATGCCATACAAACAATGTTTTTCACACTTCTTCCACAGACCCAGAATATAGGGTGTTACGAAATTAATACACGAAATGTTTATGCCAAATTCACTAACATATGTCCCACAATGTTTCCTTTGCGGAATATAATCTGTGAAAATTCTAAAACAAAAACATTTTTTATAGTTTTCAAACCGTGCTAGAAATTTCATTGACATTTTGTACAGGGTCATTCCTCACATATTGGAAATGTAATATTTTTGTTTAACTTCCATCTTATTAAAGGAAACACCCTTTATATAAGTTCATGTTTTTAATAAGCATATTTCTAGGATTACAAAATATATGGTTTGTCTGTGCCTCGATAGGTTATTTTTGAAATATTGGGTCCGAAAGTTTAAAAATATTAATATTAAAAAAACGAATCATAATAGCTATGACCGCGTCAATTGCTAGTTAATACTTCTGTCTCAGTTACCTATGATGAGACCTTGAATGACGAAATATATCATAACATAGTGGCAAATGAGGTTGAAAATTTCCTTGGAAACTTAACACTACAGCAATGCCAGGAACTTATTTGGCACACAACTATTTAGGTATCTGTAAAAAAAATGGGGGATATGAAACCTGGATTGGTCGTAACGGAAGTATTCAGTGGTTTCAAAGTAGCTGATACAATGATACAAATGAAAATCACACTCAGTTTATCGTTAACCCTTTGAATAAACTAGTTCACATTTATATTTTCTTTTTTTCATTTCTAGAGTCAATATCTCAACGTTTTTGTAGTCATAGAAACTTGTTCATTACATACGATATAAAGGACGTTTTGATACCTATCATATGAGTTAGATAATATATATTTTAAATATATATATATATATATATATATATATATATATATATATATATATATATATATATATATATATATATATATATATATATATATATATATATATATATATATATATATATATATATATATATATATAAACTAACCAGGATTTAGTAAGTAATTTGCAGTTGGTTAAAAACTGTGGTGTAATTAATGCAGATTTCATTTCAGATCATAGCTTAGTTTTTTCTAAGTTTTTGGAGTCAACTGGGTCCAAGCAAAAATTATACACTTTTAGCTCTTTTAAATACTTTAGAGAGGACGAATTCCTTCGAAATTTGCGGCGTATTAACTGGAAGAATGTTTATTATATTAATAAAATAGCCCTTTTTGACATTCATTCTCCAGTTAAAACAGTTAGGCTGAGCAAACCGTTAGCGCTATGGCTTACGGATGTAGTAAAGCATTTCAAAAATACAAAAAGAAAAAACTGTCGAAAACTAGAATATATGCAAGAGTCTACGTCACTATGCTGTTCAGACGTGAAAAATGTGCCTATTGAAAATTTGTTACTTCTGAAGATACTGCTACGAACTGGCAACGCTTAAAAAGAATAAATATCATGTCAAGAGTTAAACCAAAATTACCACCAAATTTATAAGATCCACAAATTATCAAGAAATATTTATTATTTACTTTTTCCATTACCAGGATACTTTGTTTCAATCAGCAAGTACTTTCGTATACAACTAGCCATAATATAATTCCATCAAACCAGTCAGGTTTTCGGCCAAATCATAGCACGTTTACTGCTTTACTGCTTATTAATTATCTATTAATAAAAAAACTGGTCTTTCTTGACTTTTCAAAGGCATTTCATTGCGTGGATCATGAGTTACTGTGTGCTAAACTAAAGCACTTTGGTTTTACTGATCGATCTGTATCTTTTTTGCAGTCGCATTTTAATGGTTTAATGGTCAATTAGAACTAATATCGGTATATTAGATTTGGGTAACGTTACTTCTGGAGTGCCACGGTTACACACACTTAATTAATTGTGATAACGTCGAAGCTAATCTTAGTTTGGGTTTTAAAAGTCTTTATATAGTAAAAAACACTATCTTAAGCTAAATTATAAAAAAAACACAAATTATGCTATTTGCTTATCCTGGAAACTATAATTTTTTGTATAATCATATTAAAATTCAATTGGAAAATTAAGATCTAAATTTTCAAATGAAGCAAAAGACTTAGAAGTGCTAATGGATGGTCAATTGAGATATAGTGGCCACATTTCTAATTTATGTAAAAAGGCTATATGTAACGCTATATGCAAATAAAAGAACTCTCTGAGGCATGCATCCTTTCTAATGTTATATACTGTCTCCCATTATATTATCCATTCTCAACCGTTGCTGATAAAATCAGATTGCAAAAAATCCAGAACCGCTGTGCTCAATTCGGATATGGTTTGAGAAAGTTTGATCGTATATTAGAAAAAATATTTTCGTTAAAATGGCTTTTTTTCAATTTTTACTAGCAATTGTTGTATTTAAGGTTATGGACAAAAAGCATGCTGGATATGCACAAGCTTAAATAATTTTAGGACCATTTATTGGAATTACAAAAGTCTCTGTCCTAAACAAATTAATATTTTATCAATAATAAATTTTTAGACTCTTATTATTATAGCTTGATTCTTATTGTAATATTCGGTTAATGTAGAGTAGATGAGATCAAGACCTTAAGCTAGACTTCGCCTCTTGAGATGTGTAACTATATTAGTGTGTATTAATTAGTAGTAATTAAAAAGTAATTTTGTCTAAATTTTGTGCAATCATTTAAAAGATGTCAATAATGACCATTATTGTTATTATTGTTTTTGTATGAGAGGTTATAAAGCGAATCTACCTCAGCCCGTTCTGGGCGTCTCAAGACGCCCTGGGGATGGATGGTGTGTCCCCTTGGCGACGACTGGTTGGCAACAGCCGACCGTGTAAACCCAGTGTGAGCGTACTCACACTTCCTCTCTTGACGACAAAACAGTGTGCCCTCCATTTGGAAATGCGTCAGCATTACTTCAGATGGAGTGTCGTCCGGACGCGCGTGATGTTCTCTCGCGCCCTATGATCTTCCCTATGATCTTTCGGTCTCCTTTTGGCAGAAAGTATTTGCTTTGCCATTTTGCAGACGTGGTCCCAATTTGTCGGTGACTCTAACATTTTTTGTACTAGGTTGTCTGGGCTTATGTGACCGAGTATTTGCTCTGCTATATTCCGCTGCATGTTCCATCTTGGGCAGAAAAATAGAGTGTGTTCAACCGTATCCACGTTTATGCAATAAAGGCACTCCTCGGTTTCGGCCAGATTGAAACGTTTGAAGTAGGCTTCAAAGCACCCGTGCCCGGTGAGTATTTGTGTAAGAAGGAAATCTACTTCACCGTGTCGTCTCTCAAACCAGGGTCTTATATTTGGAATTAGGTTTATACTCCATTCCGCTATACCATCATCTATGTCCCAGTCCTCTTGCCAGCATAACATCACCGTGTTTTGTGCTTCCGTTTTAGCGTCTGGTCCATCTTTCTCTATACAGGCTCTGCACTTAACTAGGAGATTAATAGGTGGGATCCTAGCTATCACCATAAGTGCCTTATTGGAAGTTGTTCTGTATGCTTCGGAGACTCTTATGGCTACCCTCCTTTGAACACTACTCAGAATCCTTTTATAGACTTTCTTCTCAACTGCTTGCTCCCATATTGAGGCGCCATATAGTAGTATTGAAGTCACCACTGAGCATAATTTCTTCCTGGTGCTTTCACGAGGCCCATTCACTTTTGGTAGAAGGCGACTGATGTTGTTCAAGGCCTTGTTGGCCTTTTCTGTTACGGCTCTGATGTGGGCCCCCATGAACATGTTTCTATCTAGTTTTATACCTAGATATCTGACTACTTCCTGACCCTGAACTGTTGTGTTTTCCACTGTGACTGAAATGTTTTTAACTTTCCTTCCAGCAACAAGTCGGACTGCCTCCGTTTTTTGGGGGGCTAATTTCAGGTTTTTAGATTTCATCCATTCCGTGACATTGTAAAGGGCATGGTTGGCTACTGTTTCCATCATCTCGGCTCCTTTTACTTCTGCTAAGATAGCCAGATCGTCAGCATATCCGACAAGGGTAATACTATTTGGAACAGGAATTCGGAATACATCGTTGTGTATTCCATAGGGTTGGACCTATTACTGATCCCTGCGGGACCCCGCATGTGACGTCCATTTGCGCTGCCTCACCTATGCTTAAACGCCTATCTTCGAAGTAGCTTGCTATGATGTTATACAGATAAGGGGCTATGTTACGATTTCGAAGCTCTTCCAATATACCACACCATGGTGCCGTGTTGAAGGCATCTTCGACGTCTACCGTGACAAGAGCACATAACTTCCTCCTTCTCCACGGTGTCTGATTATTACTATTATTAGTATTAATATTGTTATTATTATTAAAAAATAACGTAATGTTTTTTTAAATAATTCATTAAATAATTGCCGCAGCTATGGTATCCCCGTGTTCAGGCAACAAAATGCATTTTTTGATGTGTAATATTTTATTAAAAAATTACCAGTGACATCCGCGCCAGATTTGTATGGAATATTTTTTCTTTCCTAAAATGAAAATTATTTTTGTAATCTCCATTCAATAGGGAATAAAATTGATCCCTTGGCTTTTTTACGAACCAAGCACCTGGCACTGGTTAC